AATATTACATGAGCAAATATTACATTCTCATGTAAGATAACTTTTAGTGCAAGAGATTTATCTCATCCTTAATATAATTTATTATGAAACCCATGAGTTATGAAGGAACATGAGTGTTACATTTGATTCAATTGGTTATAAGAATAAGGAGTTATCAAAGATTAATAACTATAAACAGTTATGTTCCTATTGTAACTCTTCCATGATGGATGGTTGAGATTAACACACCATTTGGTATAAATGAATTCCATAAGTTTTGAGGAATTCATTTTGGAATGAAACATTTTTGTGCTTGGTATTTAACAGAATTCATTTTCAATTCTAAACTTTGAATTCTATGGAACTGGAACTAGTTATAGCAATTCCGAGGAATTGAGATGGAATTTCCAAATGAATTCCAAAAGTATTTTCTAATTATAACAGAATGATATAATTATCCTCTTTTATCAACTAAATTACTTATATATATGACATACCAAACGCAGGAATTCATTTGACAATGAATTCTACAGGACAATTTATTTTATTTCACAAGATTTGAATATGACATACCAAACACAAGATTTCATTTGACAATGAATTCTACACTGTAATCCATTTTATAATGAAATGAATTCTCGATTCATTTGGTACCAAATGGTCTGTAAGTGTAAAGAAAAACTTAGGAGGCATTTTGGTCCTCTCTCCACCTATAAATACGATGCTTTGTACCATCACAATAACGTATCATAAGAAACACATATATCAAGTGACTTATAGGCTAGGGGAGAGAACCCAAAATTCAACATTGCTACTTCTTCATAAGTTCTCTCTCAATCACCATGGAAGGAGGTATTCTTCTAATCTCTTTTCTATTTCATGTGATTATCATGTTGTTCTAACGATCTTAGGATTTCATGTAAATTTAAGGTTTACATCTCACACTCGTCAATTAAGTGATAGAATCGTCTATTGGTATTTCATATGCACGAAGTTATGGATTATACATATTAGAAAGAGACATAGAACATACAGGTTGGGATGGCAACAAAACCCGAACCCACGGGTACCCTACCCGACCCAACCCGCTCAACGCGGGTAAAACCCGTGTTGACGGGTTTTAAGCCCGATTTGGGTTTAAATCCGTTCACTATTCACCGAGTTGGGTTTGGATTTAGGTATACCCGCCCCATGGATACTCGCCCACACCCATATAATTAATTTCCCGGTATATTTAATATTCTAAGCAACTCATCTTCTTTATGTTTGTGGAGACATGTCTAATTTTTTCTTTCTAATTATGTAGAATGAAGTTGATATTATCGAGTGGAGAGTGAAGAACCTTGATTGACAAAGAGGAGGAGGGTTTCAATTAATCATGTTGTTTATGGATACTTAGTGATTTGCTTCAATTTTCTTGAGTTTTCTAGATTGGTGTTCAACAATTTGTATGGTTAATTTGTGATTTGCTTGAATTTTCTAGAATGGTGTTTTATATATGGATAATTTGTATTGAGAGATTGATATTTGACTTTTATTTTGATAGGAACTTGTTATTGTAAATTTTTTACGACAAAAAACCATGGATACCCAGGTTTGAGTTTTCCAAACCCAGTGGGTTTTACCCCGTGTTTTTTTAGGGATAAACCCATGGGTTTGGGTTTGGAAAAACCCGACCCAACCCGATCCATTGCCAACCCTACATAGAGGAGTCGTTTGCATGAGTCATTTACAAAATGAGTCATTTGCTCAAATATAGACATTTCAGAAATGTAGACATCTGCAAATTCATTGTTTGTTTAACAGTTGTTAGATGAGTCATTCATAAATGGGTCATTTGTATAATGTTACTAGGGTTGACAATCGGTCGGTAACCGGTTAAACCGGCTAGCGTTTGACCATTACCGGTGTACTGGAACTCCCATATCCGCCTCCGTTTGCCGATACTGAGTGCACATCGGTCCACCAATTACTGAATTAGTATTTCACGTTTTTTGGTCGATAAACCGTTTACCGAATGCCTGTTGCTGTGTTTTTCGTGTTCCCCTGCTTCTTCTGTTCTTCATGTTTCTCTGCCTCTCGACCTCTCCCCTGCCTTCTTCACCACCGCTCTTTTCTCCTCTTTCCTCATTCATCCTTCCTACAAAGGACGCTATTTCTCAACTGGTGGTAGTGGAACCATTTCACCGGCGACACCGAGGGAAAGGGCGGGTGTTCAAGCGCCGGAGATCGAGCGACGGAGATCGAGCAACAGAGAGAGGGAATCAAACGATCTCACAACTTCCTCTTTTCCTCAAAGCTCAAATTGAGTCGGAGAGATCGAGCGGCGGTAACTCCTACCCAGATAGTTGATTGTTAGATCTCCCCTTTGTGAACGGCGGTGAGGATATTCTGAACTGAAAACCCATGTTCTGGAAGTGGCGGCAACAGAGACGGAGACAGACAGCCTGGACGCGGAGTTCCCACCCCTGTTCTCCAATTTCGGGCTCTGATCGGTCCGATGGCATCACATCCAGATACATGCAACGAAGATTCCGAGAAATCTCATCCGATCTGCCTCTCATCTCATGCGCTCGCTCAAGAAAGCAATGGTGGAGGGTGAGAAAGAGGAGGAGGAAGGAAAGTGGTGGAGCAGCTGGGTGATTTTTAGATAGATACTATATTTGATTTCCTTCTTTTATGGGAATTTTTGTGAAGGTGAAGAAGACAGAGAGAAGAGGGGAAGGAAACGCAAGGAGGGGATTGAGAAGGGCTGGCGTGTTATCGATCACGGAAGCTTCAACGACAACGAGTTGGAACAAATTCCGTTGACTGTCGACATGGCGTGTGAGGATGACGCAAGACTGGGATGGGATTGAGAGACCAGGCTTCTCCTTCTCTGCGTGGAGAGAATCGTGAGATAGATATGGAGAGGAGTGAAGACGAAGATGGAGACAGGAGAGAAACATAAGCTTTATCGCGCGGCAGCAGAGGCTAGAGGGGAAGAGATCGCAAATAGGGCTGGAGCGGATTTGTCAATCAAAGCACCATCGTTTGCTGCTGTCACTTGGTGGATTTTTGGTTTTCGCTTAACTTGTTTATCGACGGTAAATTACCAGAACCTATCCGGTATACCGTTCAGTCCCTTTTGTCCAACGCCAACCGTTACCACCGGTTACCGGTTAAACCGTTAACCGGAAAACCGTTTACCAGTCCTAAATGTTACCATTTTGCCATTGCATTTAATATTTCATTATCTTGTTTCATATCCTCATAAAACTAACCACGTAACAAAATCATTTCGCAACCAACAAAAAATATGATTACGAGTCATGTATAATACTTTCTAATATTAAATAATATTTTTATGATAAATTTCTTTATAAAAGCTAACGACTCCAGGAGTCTCACATTCGGGCTAATTACGACGTATTCTTGAAGGTGAAAAATTCGATGATACGAAGAGGTAGAGTCACGAGAAAATGATGTAGACAATAAGATGGATGACCCCATCACCGCTTGTAAAATTTGGCGGAAAGAATGGTAGGGGAAATAAGTAATAGAAAAGCAAGGGTAAAAGTGAGTTTATGGAAAAGTGACAAGCACATAATTGAAAAGTTTGGCTAAAATATGAGTAATTTTGCAATGACTGATAGATAGGAGGCATTTGAAAATGGCTCAATATGATCATTTGAGACTTTCGTATGATCCAAATAACTCATGCAGTTTTTTGTCAGAAAACGAGTCATTCGGGACCAAATTTGGAACCAAATTACTCATTCAAATGACTCTAGCAAACCACCCCGCAAACTACTGGCCTAATCTATTTTCCATGTAACTGATAGATAGAAGGCATTTGAAAATGGCTCAATAGGGTCATTTGAGACTTTAGTATGATCCAAATAACTCATGCATTTTTTTGTCAGCAAACGAGTCATTCGAAACCAAATTACTCATTCAAATGACTCCACAAACTACTAGCCTAATCTATTTTCCATGTGAGATGAAATGGAAGCAAATTATTTTAAAGCGATGTTGAGTTGAGAGTGGTTTAGCAAAGTTATCTAACTAACATGGAAAGGTTAAAGTAGGGATTGCTCAAATGAGGAAGTGTCCCTTAAGCAATACCCAAATGGAATGAAAAGATTACACGTTACTTCCATGTGCCACACCACTTCCCATTCGCATATTCCTTTGCCGTCACAATTGAAACCCAAACCCCAAACCCGGTTCAATCCAACCCGACCCGACCCCCAAAACCTTCCCTTTTTTTTTTACTGTAATAAAACCTTTCCTTTCAAGCAAAGCATTTGGGGGGAGAAATCCATTATATGTGAGGTGTTAGTTATTTAATTGCCTAATGAGTTTTGAAGATCTCGAGAGACACAAACATTTCCTTCTTTTTTACGTCGATCTAAATGGAAAAAAATGATCACATGAAAAATATTATCTAATCGATATCCCAAATTAATCTTCAGGTATGTCGGTATATCAAGTTTTTCGATCTCTATAGTTTTACTCATCGTCATGATCAAGTATCACCTACCCATTTAACAAGTTATTGCTACCCGATTTTTTGATAGACAAATATTTATTAGATAGTCAATACAAACTAAAAGAGACTGAGAATTTCGATGTATTTCAACATTCCTGTAATTTATCAATGTTCACTATGCGATTGTTGTAATTAAAATACATCACTTAGTAACTTCTCTATTTGTTTTTAATTTCCCCCTCCATTTGTTATGTACACGAAAATAAGATAAATGCTCCCTTCTTTTTTATTTTATATAAAAGTGATGTAGATTTGATTTTTAATTTGGTGTTACATACGATTCGAATATGAGACCTCCACATTTAAAACTAATAATAAATATTCCATTCTTTGAAATATGTTCCTCATATTGCATAGGTTTTAACCCCAGCCCTCTAAATGAAAAGTACATATGCAAAATTTTCAATCACAATTCACATCAGGCAGTCAATCACTTTATAATATGCTATGTAACAAGATATAAATAGTTGATCATATCGTTAAAAGGACTATGACCATAATAAAAGGAGAGAAATTAGTCAATTACAAATTTTGAAATTAAAATCTATCAACTCAAAGTACGATTGTATAATTACGCACACCAAACCTGTGATGACACTATATGCTTGAATTCTTGTTTATAAGGGGGAAAAAATCATTACTTGTTTGTTTTTATTATACATCCAAAAAACAACCTTACTAGCTGAGGTAAAAGGAAAAAGAGAAAAAGAGTAGTTTATTGAAAAATTGGATAGAGTGGGGAGGTCCGGTGGATCCGAGCCCGCCGGTTCCGGAGCTCACGTTGGCCCGAATTCCTTCCTTTGCTTCCCATTCCCTCTTTCTCTGACGACGAGAGGTCTCAAACTGCTCTGCTATTAACCCACGCAGAAACAACTGCCCTCTCTTCCCACTCTTTCTTCGTCCCTCCCCACATTCGAAACCTTCCATTCCCTCTTCATTTCCCCCTTCTTCTTCAAGCTCTCCTTTCATTCCACACCTTCCATCGCTTCCTCCATTTCCATTGACCTCCCCCAAATGCCCGCTTCTTCCCCAAATCACTCTCACCAGGCAAGCTTGATTAAACTTCCTCTCCTTCTATTTCCTCTACGTCCCTTATTTGATTCCGCTGAAAGTAACCCTGAATTGGGGGAAACTCATGATTTCGAAGCCATTGATTCTCGCTGTTTCTGCTTCCCCTCGCTCCAGTGTTGGAAATGGTGTTCGTGGGTGAAGTGGGATGAACAGAAAGTTTCAATCTTTTTGAAGTTCAAATTTCCTCGGCTTCTCCTTAGTTTCTGTCTAGTTTGAGGGTTTCAATTTTTATATGATTGGAAGTTAGTTTGGAAGACTTCAACTTTGTTCATATTTTGTCTTCGCTCTAAGTTATTAGCTTTAAAATAGAATCTTTGAACTGCTGCATTGCTTGTCCAATCACATGTTCATCATTTGGGGTGGTTGAAGCAAGTTCTGGATTCTTTTCTGGTATCAATCGTTTTCTGCTTTGCTAAATCTTGGGTATGGACAAAGCAATGGAGAGGCAACAGTTAAAAGTAGCATCGGTCTGTTTTTTGGTGGAAATAAATCATACTAAAATTTGTGTTCATCTTTGATTGGGTTGAAGTTAGTTGAGCATATAACTAGATTGTTCATTACAATCTATCTTTGAATAATCCTAGGTTATTCATCAAAAAAGAATAATCCTAGGTTATAACTTGAATTAAACATGTGTTTCTGCTATTTCTTGGTGAAGCTTGATTCTGGGAAGTTGAAACTGTTCGTTGAATGTCTCTAATCTGTCTTCTACCTTTGCTCATTTGCAGGTCTAGTTTCTAAGTGATCTGGGCTGTGATGCAAAGGATTTTGGCCTCTTAGAATCCTTTCAACGATCTGTTCTTGGTTAGATGAGGGCATTTCCCATGTGCTTCTCTTCATTACAATCCCCTCGTTATGGAATCCATTCCTTGAGTAGTCTTTGGCAGGATAGCTTCCACAGGTCAAGCAACAAACATGGAAGCCATAGGAGGTTTAATGTTATTAGTTCCAAACCGAATGAACTCGAAGGAGGGTACAGTAGAAGATGGATTCGAAGCAAAACCACCGAAACTAGAAAGACAATAGCCACCAGTCACAATAAAATACTAGAGGAAGAAGCTGCTGCTGCTGCTTCGACTAGTAGTGCTACTACATTGAGAGTAGTTAACAAAACAGAACTGAATGAGCTTCTGGCATTCGGGTCAGCTTGTGATATAAGTCAGCAGCTTGCTGAGAGCAAAGACCTGCACAAGCTTGTGACGGTCATAGTGTTTGATCTCGAGACGACAGGGTTTAGCAGGCAGTTTGATCGGATTATCGAGATTGCATTTCGTGATCTGGGAGGTGGAGAGAACAGCACGTTCGAGACACTAGTGAATCCTGAACGTCTAATCCCTAACTCGCATGTTCATGGGATCAACTATTACATGGTCACTAGACCTGGTGTTCCTACGTATGTCTCTCTCTCTCTCAACGCTTTGTCTTTAAATTATAAGCTGTTTGTGGATGGATCTATATGGTGTTTGATGAGGCAACTTCTCAATCCCACTGGCAACTGTTTGTTATAGATTGAAGTATAGTAACTGGAAAACATACTGATAAATGGCATAGAGGGTTAGTTTCAACTTTTTCTTACACGTCTGATGCAGCAGGTGATTTGGAGCATTGTCCAATTCTTTCCCTGCATCCCTTTATAAGTAGTTCAGCACTTGGTTAGCATTTATAACCCTTTTGAAGTTATTCCCTTTATATGACTACAATGTATGTGAATTGCAGGATGAAAGAGCTAATACCAATTATGGTCCAGTACATAGAAAGCCGCCGGAAGAAAGGAGGATACGTGCTGTTAGTAGCTCATAATGGTCGTACTTTCGACGTGCCATTCCTCAAGAGCGAATTCGAGCGATGCTCTTTCCGCATTCCTCACGATTGGCTCTTCTTTTGTACTCTCGGGCTTGCGCGCCAACACTTTAAGGGTTCTAAGGTATCACTGGAAGCTATGAAAGAGAGTTTGGAGATCAAGTTGGAGGGAGACGCCCATAGAGCCATGGCAGATGTGAATGCACTGTCATTGGTTTTTCGGGAACTAACGATCCGTTTGGAAAAGACGCTAGCCAACTTAGTCAAGGACTCATTCACAGCCTCAGAGTTGAGCAAGACGAGCTCCAAGAAGGAGAAGGCCAGCAATGCTAAGCCAAAGACTTCAAAGTAGAAAGTTCAGAAGTCTGAGCCATGGCATTCTCCCTGCAGTTTATTTGCTATTGGCCTTGCTTTGTTTCTCTGTTACTTCTAGTTGTAGTAGTTATTAGTTGGTAATCTTATTGGAAAGTCACTGATTGTACATTCCAAGGCTGCCTTCAGCCATTTGACGCTGAATAGCAGCAAACGTTATTGTGTTCTAGTTTATAAGAAGGAAAGAATACTAGTGGACTATAGCAAAAATTGTGAACTTGTTTCATTATGAAAAAGGTTGAAGAAATCAAAGTAACTTTCCCATTCAAAAGAGATTTAATCTTTAATTTCATTGAACAACTAACAAAGAATAGTTGCTAACAATGAAAAAGGTTGAAGCAAATATTTGAAGGACTTCAGGGATTGCATATAAATCGGTTACCTTTAAATTTTAATGAATACCGCCACCAAAGTTAAAAACAACTAACATGATTTTCGTCGTAGTGGAGTATCAACTCAAATTCAAAGTCCACCTATTACAGGAAGGAGAAGTTAAGGTGGCTTATGTGATTAGAATTGAGTCTAGTAACATGATCTCATTTCTCGTCCATATCGGAGCATCAACTCGAATTAATCGATTCGAGGAAGAAGGAATTCGGGTGGTTTCTAATTATGTGGATAAAATTGAGTCCAGTAACATGTTTGTATGGATCGGTAAGGAGTTACAATGACATGAATGTACATGGCACAACTTATAAAATGTCTATTTATTATCATTATTAATTTGGTCGAGTGATTGTTATAAAATTCAATTTGATGGAAATCTACAGAGTTTGTCCTTACCGTTAATCGCACCGTTTAAATTAGTCGGTTAATCATATAGTTGGTTTTCGATTATTTTGTCGGTTAACCAGATAATTGTTAACCAAGTGATTCAGCAAGGTTATACCAAAATATCCGTTCGATAACCTAACCAACAAAAGGCCCTTTTTTTCAATTGTGAAAATTTCTATAATGTCTCATACATATGCATGTGTTCTTTTGTTAAGTTGCTATCATTGGATAAAAAATAATTTATAATAGATACATTTTTATATATACATATCAATACATAATCAATTTAATCCAACACAAGTATACAAGAATACCATTCCGCCGCCAAACTTTATTAAAGCAACATACAACGATAAGAGACCAAATAATAATTACTCAAATCGCAATCTCATCAAATTACATGGAAGTTTAAAGTTATTGATTGTTGTCGAGCAATTGTGCGCAAGTCTATCTTTCTACTGTGCTTTTTCTAAAACTATTCCTTTAAATTATTCTCATTTGAGTCTTAGTCGCTATTATAACTAGGATAGGTAAGGCGTCTTGTAAGCCTTCAAAGTTCAAACACCCCATTATTTTTTTGTCTATTTTTGCAGCTCATGAAGGTCTATTATTTTCTGCTCTAACTATGAGGATGGTCGTAATCGATTAGTCGATTAATCGTTTAACCACGGTTATTTATTACCGGGAACCAACCGTTTATTATTTAATTGGTTATCGGTGTAACCGTTAAGCACCGATTCCAATTCGGTTATCGATTACACCGTTAACTGAATAACGGTTTACCAGGTTATAGTAAGTTTATTTGAAACTATCAAATCAAAATTCAATTCCGTCTAATGACCTGAAGGTCAGTGACCCCAAGGAGAACTCTGAATCCAGCAAAGCTGTGCTTCAAGCATTTGGGAGGAGCAATAGCCACAAGGATATCCATTTCTCATGAGACAGAAAATAATAATATCGGCTACAAAAATCGAGTTGATTCCCCCACAAAAGAAAAACAAGCAATTGGGGAAGCAATAAGCCATGGTTCTACCTGGGAAAATAGTAATCAAATTGAATGAGGTTTCAGCTCTATACATTCATTCAATCACTTTTGCCCTGGCAATTTCATCCCACACCCAAATCCCACCCAACCCTACTTCTTCTTGCCCACATTCTACAAAACCCGAAGCACGTAAATGTGTATATTTATACCTATGTATATAGAGGTTACCAAGAAGCTCTTCTTCTGCTGGGCAAAACCAAAGTGTCCACCTTTATAGCATTGTGGTAAACGTCGGAGCAGGTCAGGGTGATGACACAACATTCTTTCGCTTTCGCTGTTACCTCGCAGCTCAAAATAGTATTTCCTTGAGGATCAGAAGGACTAACATGATGAAGCACATGATTACAAGCACCGTAGCGCACATTACCATTCCCCCTTGCTTTTGTGTTCTCTCGGCCTGTAAGAGCGAACAAACAAAATTCGATAACGAATAAGATGGCATAGCAAACTAGCAGGTCATTTATTGGCAGAATTGTCAAGTGGTGGAGACATTCCGATTATCACCGAGCATACCCCGAAAATCAATCCATGGCTATATTTTGCAAATCTCTATATGCCACAATCCACCACCAATTACGACTATCCAGACAAGATTTGATCAATCCAACTGTTGATGGATTTGGGGAAATAATCCACCACTAAAATCCATCAGCTAGACCTAAAGTAGTCTGGACAGTGAGGTATTGACATGAATTATTATGCAAGAAACTGTACCTTCTGCAGCTGTTTAAGTCCTTCCTCGACTGTAGTTGCGACATTCTGAACGTTGTAGTCTATTCTATCAACAATAGTACCCTGACTCGGCACAAAACTTTCAGTTAGTTTGCTGCTGAGATTGGGGGGGGTGGGGGGGGGGGGGGGGGGGGGGGTGGGGGTGGGGGGAAGATGTCGAGGATATGAAATTGATTACCCACCTGGTCTATCACGAGTACTGACAAGTCTTTCATGATTTGAGCAAGTTCATTTACAGACTCCACAACCTAATAAATAACAACTGATAAGAGAACAGATTTAAATAACTCCAAATTTACAAGATCCAAAACCAAGGAGTGTCTCACTTGCCTGTTGAATCTCTCTCTCCCTTTCTGCTGTAAATGCCTCGGTCTTTTTAACTCTAGCCATTTGAAGATCACTAAATGCCTGCAAAAAATTTGACAAAAATTTACTCGCTCTTTCTGAAAATATGAAGGCAATGGTCAAAGGACAGGAAAGAAGAGACAGCACAAGTAACAGTGAGGTTTGAAATAGAGCATACCATGTTATCTAAACCATCCTCGTCATCCATTCTGGATCTATTACCATTGAGGTTCATCTCCAAGTCAACCCCATCTTGACCCTGTGTTGCAAGACAAAAAACAGATGAAATGAGCCCAAGCTAGAATCAAAGGCTAGCTACCAATGGCAAGATACCTAAAACTAAAGTTTGGAAGAAAAGGTTGCAGTAGGAGTTTGCCGGAAGTGGACTCCTGGGGTTTCTCATATGATTTTTAATTGATATAAGACGAGTTATTACTTATTACAAACCTCTTTTTGCTGCCTGAGGCGCTTCAAGTATGTTGATTGCTTCTTGCGAAGTTCCATAGAAAGATTCTGAAGGTCTGTTGCTAAGGAACGCTGTCATGAAAACTTACTAACATCAGGCACAAGAACTTCTGCTGAGCAGTAAAAATACACTATAAACTCGGGGATCCAGTAACATTTAATATAAGGCAAGTTAATAATCCTTATCACTAAGCAAAGGCAAGATGAGTTCCCTGTCAAAAGGCAACGGGAGAATAGATCTGAATTAGAGGGTCCAAAAGTACAAAGAGGGGGGGAATACAACTAAGTCATACCTGAACATTTTTTCTGATATTTGAATCTTCTGTTGGACCCCCTGCTGAAAGTCTCTGCAGTTTTTTCTCTGATTTCTTTATAAGTCCGGTTATCTCGTGGGTTAAACCCTCAATTGTCCGTTGGTCTTCTTTACCATCTCCAAATGAAGGCATCAATGCTTTGGCGTGAGCCTTGGCTAACTCAGCCATCTTCATCCGAGCACGGTGCACATTGGCTGCTATGTCTTCCGATATGTCGACCCAAGCAGGTGGTAGACCAACTGTTGATGCACCTTTACTGCACGAATAAACAATGTTCAACCTTCAAGCCTCTATAGCATAACTATTCAAATGTGAAATGCTTAAATGTAAACTACTGTCAGCCACCATAGATTCCTATTACCATCTGAACAATATCCCTAACATATTATTGAAAAGATATCGGTCTTAGAAACAACAGAAGTTGAAGATGAAACTGTTAACAATATGAAAATTTATTTCCCAACACTTAAATCTGCATATGATGATAGTCCAAAATGGAATCAATCATCTCTTTTGCTTCACATCTTCTCTAATCCATTCCTGCTCCATTTCCATCCAAACTGGCTGAAATTGAAGTCACCCTATTTCATGAACTTATTCCCAAGGAAATTGCTCAAACCTTACAACTAATTAATTTCTCACTAACAAACTCAATTGCACCTTTCATGCAGCCAAGCAACACCCTTCCATTAACAGCAAAATGTAATCAATCAAATATCCCTTTTGCTTCACATCTTCTCAATTCATTCCAGCTCCATTTCAATCAAAACAGGCTAAAACTAAAGTCACCCTGATTTCACGAACTAACTCTAAGGCAATTGCTCAAACCTTACACCTAATTCTTCACGAACAAACTCAATACCACTTTCATGCATTCCAGCAAGAACCTTACAATCTATGATCCAAAACTAAGCTTCACAATTTACGCTGCACGGAAAGTTACAACAGAAACGCCGTCTCGCCTAGATATTTATTACCATGCGAACAACTCATCTCCTTAACTCTATCAAAAAGAAACCGGTCACTAGAAATAGGGAAGTCACAGATCATATTTCTCTAACACCACTACTATCTCTATATGCTGACACTAGAGAGCAAAGCAGAACCAATCAGCCATCCAAAGTGGAATCAATCAAATAACTCAATTTTTCTTCACGTTTTCAGTAATGCACTCCCACTCCATTCCAATTGAAACTCAGCTACCCTACAGTCTGACTGACTTTTTTCCATTCCCAAGCCAGTTGCTCGAAGCGTACACCAAACATTTCAAAACTCAAAACACTCAAGCTAAGCCCTTTCAACCTATGATCCTCCAACAAACCATATTCCCAACTAAGATTCTCAATTTACTTAAACAAAGAGATGAAGAATACAATCGACTCTCACAAGAGACCAGAAAGGGAACCAATTCAAAGCAATCCCACTAGCTCGGGAAAGGGGGGAAAATGTAGACACGTTCGGCAAAAATAATGAGAAAGAAATGCACCTGGAATTACCGGGATCTTCAGTACTGAGGGGAGCGTAAGAGCGGTTAGGATTGAGAAAAGAAGTGTTGGCCAACTCAATCACCGGGCCGCCGCCGCGACCGCCTCTGGCGGAGGAGCTCGTCGAAGCAGACGACAACGGCTGCTGTGATGAAGAAGAGGAACTCGTCGGGATCCTGACGCTCTTCAACGCGTCCCTGTACTTCCTGAATATCAACGTCCGGTTCCTCGTCGCCATTGATCGAAATCTCGAGATGAAAGAAGTGAAGAAATCCGAAGGACCGTTTAATATAGGAACGCGGAATTCAGATTCGGGGCGGGGAAGCAGAGATCTGGAATCATTTCTTTTCTTCCTTCGCAATTGAGGGAAACCAAGTGAAGTGCGTGATCGGAGATTTATAGAAAGGAACGAAATTACACGCTTGTTTCCACGGCAGAGGATCAGGCCGCCGGCGGCGAGAAATTGGGCGGAAGCGGAGGAAAACTGCGACGGACGGAAGGGGAGAAAGACTTGACTAACAGACGGGGGAAAAGGACTGATCGGAAATAATGAAAACAAAAATTCATATGGCCAAAAAATTGATTTAACAGAAAATCGTAGAGTTCGTTGGCGGTTGGTCCAACAACAGTTGCTTACTGGGCCCAAAACTAATTGGGCTCGTAAGGAAGTTTGGACTGCACAGTTGTCATTGTTGGTCTAGCAAGCTTAAGGTGGCATGGTTGTCACGCCGGCCTGCGTGTCACCGGTTGTACCGAGTTCAACTGGTACCGGTCATAAAACCGGCGTCACACCACCGAAGATTGAGTTAGTGTGGATTTAATTAGGTCGGACCATCAGTAAAAAAAAAAAAAAATTAGGTCGGACCAAATTTTGATTTTCATAATATCATCATTTTGCAACATTTCGACCGAATTTCACGATACAGACGGCCTAGAGGGAGTGAGAGATAAAATACAAAAAGAGAGAAAAAAAAAAGCCTTCTCTTCTTCCTCTCTCATATATTTTTATCACCTCTCTCTCCATCCCTCGCTCTCTGTCTCTCCTCCAAACCCCTCGAAACCTACCCTTATCAATATCTTCATCAAAAAAAATTCTTCCCCTTGGATTTCATTTCCATAATTTCAAAAGGGAATTTTTTTTTCGAGGGAAACAAAGAAACTCGCCAACAAGATCACAGGTTCCGGACAATCAACTCGGCGACGACCTTACACCACCGCCTTCTTGCCCCTTCTCCGTTGATCGATCGTTAGAAATTGTGGGTTCGAGGAAAACAACGATAAAAGGGGGTAAAGGAGAGAGCTTTTTTTCTGATCATTTCGTGGAAGGAGGAGGAGAAGGAGAAAGAGGAGGGTAGCTAAAGGGATACAGAAAGAAAAAGGCAGAGAGAGCTATGGATGCAGATTCGTGGAGCGCTCGTCTCTCTTCTGCTTCTAAGAGATATCAATCAGCTCTTCAATCGCGATCTGGTGAGTCTTTGCGCCTCTTTTCTCCCCTTTCCAATTGGGCTCTTCTTGTTTCAATTGAGGATCATTTTTGTTTGGATGGTAGGAAAATCAGTGGGATAATGTGGATTGGGGAGGATTAGATGTGTTTAGGTTTCTGAATTGTGAAGTGAAATACCTGCATTTTTAGGTCGTTTTGTGGGATTGGGATTGTTTGGGTAAATAGAAAAATACGCGATGGAAGTTTTCGGGGGAGAAATTGGATTGGTTACCATTCACTGTTTGGCTGAGCTCTTTGTAGTTTTCCATGTTGAAAGTTTGAAGCTTCATTCCTTCTCATTTCAAGTTATTTGTGATTCTTTGGGTTCTAGGAAATGAAAAGCATTGGTCGTTTGTTGAGGTCAATAATTTAATTGGCTTTATGTAGAAATGGGGACCCCTGCCATGGTTTCTCCCTCACATTTTTGTGGTGCAATGCTTAACATTGGTTTGGCCTACAGATATGTTTATGGGGTTTGAAGAAATCGATGTTGATGATGATATGAGGGAGGAGTTTCCATGCCCTTTCTGTTCAGAGTACCTTGATATTGTTGGCTTGTGTTGCCACATCGACGATGAGCATCCTGTGGAAGCAAAGAACGGGGTATCACTTTCTTTCCCTATCTGATAGAAGTGGATTAGCTTAACATTGCCATTCCTGAGTACTTGGATATGCATCCTTATACATGGTTCATGATGTTATCGTGCTGACAACTTTCGTTTCACGAGTGCATAAAAATGGCACATAGAAAGTGCTTCATTTTAGTTTTTCCTTTTGTGGCTGTAGTGGAGAACGTCCCTCCGTTATGTTGACTACTGCTTTCAAGTTCTTGTAGTTGCCAACACCAAATGAGTCTGTCTATCTTTCCTGTTGCTGTATACTCTCTCAATTGAGTTGCACCGGTATGGTAATTGCAGGGTATAAACTCTTTGATGGTTAAATGTTGGTTAACATCTGGAATTGTCTTTAATAGTGGCCAATGCCCTATCACAGTTGTCAACCTCCTAGCCATGGGCTGCTCTTGATAGATGAGTAGCACTGTGGAAATAATATATGACTCTGTACGAACTAGCAACTTAGTAGGATGTATACCTTCTGGTTCGTGGTCCCGGTAGATTTGGTCACATTAATCGATGAGGTCCTTCATACTATGTCTAAGTTCAGGTTGACGGCATTGTCTTCTAGACGTGGAAATGCTTATTGAAGGTTAACTCTCAAGGTTAAATTTCACTCATGATGATTTCTATATTCTCACAGGTTTGTCCAGTTTGTGCCATGAGGGTGGGCGTCGATATGGTTGCCCACATAACCTTACAACATGGAAATATTTTCAAGATATCCTTTCCCCCCGAGTTATTGTCATTTCAGATACCCAACTTTTGGATTCTGATAAATCTGCTCTGATTCTCGCAAATATAATTCACATTACTTTGATGGTATTTCTAGCTGGTATATTGTTTCATTGCCAAGTAGTTAAAGCTTCAACTACTCATGATTGACCTGACCTTCCAATCCTCTTGAATTCCTTGACGAAAGAGCTTACATGCAGCGGAAAAGGAAATCACGCAGAGGCGGAGCTCATTCGAGCCTTTCTTTGTTGAGGAAAGAGTTGCGAGAGGGAAATCTACAGTCCCTTTTCGGTTCTTCTTGTATAGTTTCGTCGTCAAATGCTGCTCCTGATCCATTGTTGTCGTCTTTCATTCTACCCATGGGAGATGATTTCATGTCTCCACAGACGTCCTTTTCAACTGAAACGAGTTTCTCTAAGAAAGGCCCTGAAGAGAGTATTATAGAAAGGTTTGTTGTCTGACCTCTGCCTGATTTATGCATGAGATTCCAATTCCATGATGTCTAATCAATATTCTATCCCTTTATTGCCTCCTAGAGATGAATGGAGTCCCCATGCTAGTAAGATTATAAAGGGCATCTAAGGAGTGTCATGCTTAGGGGGTGGGCAGCCATTTGATATCATGGTTTCTCATAAAATAAATGCCGACTCAATCGAGATCGAACCATAGTGGAGGCCCTTTTGATCCAGTTGTGATCCTTATTTAGTTCCTTTTTCTTCGACAAGGTCATATTATGAGTTGGTCCGACCCGTTCCAGAACTTCATTGCATTAGACAAAGAACTAGTTGAGAAAAGGTTCTACATTTGCTTGTCTGAATGCACATAAATATTGTCATGTACGGCGCTCCTCGATGAGATATTGTTCGGTACAGATTTTGAGAAGCTTCACCTGGACTATAATTCGAGTCCTAATGTCGTTTTATATTTTGGTTATGCAGAAAAGCAAAGTCACCTCCATTGTCGATCAAGGATAAGGAGGAGAAAGCAAAAAGGAGCGAGTTTGCTCAGGGGCTCTTGTTGTCCACCATTTTTGGTGATGATGTTTCATAAGGACAAAGGGGGCGAAACAGGAAAACTCTGAACTGAGACAGGCCATGCTAAAATGCTCCTTGGAAGAAGAAGAAGAAAAAGAAGAAGAAATCTTTAATGGTTTGTTTGTAGCAGTGAAATATGGAAGTTGTATTATCAAGTGGTTGAGAAAATAAGCTTTGTACTTTGAAGTAGTGTAAGTTTATCAATATGCTTTCATGTGAAACCTCTTTCTTAGTTGTTGAGACCTGAAAAGACTTTTACTTTCAGGTCTCTTCGTTAAATTGAAAAGATAAAGAAAAGAAAAAGGCCAAAAGAAGAAATAATAACCTCTTTTTTTATATTAGTTTTTTTTTCTGTCTTTTATTGCTTTGCTGAATAGTTCGGACTTTGGAGTCATGAGTCATGACCAAATTCAAGAACACGTAAAAATGCCAAAAATATACAGGTGGAGGCTTAGGAAATGGAAACTTAGCTGGATTTTCCCACCCACAGATTAAAGATAAATCCGAAAGAGAGAAGTATCCAAATGAAAAAGATAGGAACTTGGTGATTTCCAGAGAGCAGTGTTTGTGAAATCTTGTGCAGACCAAACAGATAAGATTCTATGATAATTGTGTCACCTTCATCCCAAACCCCTATGATTTTACTATGATTGTTTCACCTGTCATATTTTAATATGTCATGTATATCAATGTTCCATCTAATACACACCTGACAAATTCGATTGAAAACTGAAATCTGAGTGGCCCAGATCAAGTCAATTACACTTTTGATTCGCTTTTGATTTTCGTTTCTTTTGCGTAATCCATCCACATTTCGATTCGGTTTGACTACAGTGCCGACTGTGCCCAGCTCCTACCAAAATGGCTAGGCTTTAGCCTTGGTAGCTGAAACCAACAAGAGATTAGAGAAGAGAAAGATCAATCGAAAGCAATAAGAAGACTGGGGCACCTGCTAAATATGAGGCATAGAAGAGACAGCAGAAAGTAATCTGGGTATCAACATCAAAAGAGAACGATCTAAACAATGATTGATCTGTTTAAACAATGGACGTATATGGTGGATCAAATAAGCATACAGAGCAAAGTGCCCCGATGTTCAAAAGTCCCATCTTTTCACTGAATCTATGAACAATTTTGACCCAAAAAATTGTGTTCTTACCCTAAAACCTATAAACCTAGACTAAGCCATTGTGGCAGCCTTGGCACCTTCGAATCCAATATTTTCACCACTACATCCCTCACAAATGATTCAAAGCAAGGTGAGCAAAAACCTCTCATTATGCTAGCTTGTCCGGCGAAGATTCTATCGAGATGCGCGCAGCTGGGTGGGGGTGGCAGAGGATGAACTTCATTCCTCTTGTGCTCAAGTCCACAGTGTGCTAAGATTGTGTGCGTTGAAGCCCTCACAACTTGCTTGAAGTTCTCTTGCCCTGCATCGGATAAAAAAGGCACAGGCCTAAGTTGCTTCAACTGATTCCATATCCATGAAGAGGGCAATAAAGGGTTTCGAGAATATGTAAAAGATGTCTATAGTATATAACCATATGCTAATGAATACGAATAGAATGAAGTACTATTTAGGCTCGGAGAGACACTCTGTTTAAGCCGCTACCCTATATGCTACTTCATTCTTGTCAATATTGAAAAGAAGAAGCTAACTTCAGGGACCTAAATGCTACTCCGTTCAAATCAACAACGGGCTACAAATCTACTATGATGTCAACAAAAATAAAAGCATACCTAAGTCATTATCTTGGGTCAAGGCTTTGGCATGGCCTTTCACCATCGATTGCAGGTGCTCCTTCAAAACGTAGAATTGACTGTCACCTTCATATGAGGCTAGATTGCCGTCAGACCGAATGCTTGCTCTATTGTTAGACAGATGGGTCTGCTCATATCCATGAACCAGACTTGTTCGCGTGTCTTCTCCAGGCCATAATGTCGAACTCACAGGCCTCTCGCTGGCTACAAAATTTGACGGCTGCTCAATTGTTGCTCTCCATTCGCTCTGTGGTAGTCTATTAGATCTGTTGCTCAAATTAGCCGGATTGATGTTGTTAGTCAGTTGAACCGGCATTTCTCCATGCTGGACAACCCGAGAGTTGGGAACTGGCATTGCTTCCATTCTGCTAGACAGAAGGCTCTGTATGCGTCGTTGAATCTCACGTCTTCCCCAGACTGTCGATGCACCTGTTCCTGGGGAAGAAGCAGCCAGTGGAGATATTGGCAGACTGAACGTCGAATGTGATGGAAGTTCCGAACTCTGTAGCATTCTTCTGTCTTGTAAACTGAGAGTTTCAGGTCTGTTAAACTGGTTGCTCATTGGCACCAGTTCATTGATTGTGTTGCTCATTTCCATTGTTCTGCTAATTGGGTTGCTCATTGGCATTGGTCTGATAAACGCCACATTGGATGAAGTTGCTGAACTCAGAAGTAGTCTGTCTTCTGCACTGAGAGTTTCTGGTCTATTAAACCTGTTATTCATTGGCATTGGTGTATTTAAAATGCTGCCCAATGGCATTGTTACTCTATTGAACCTGTTGACCACTGCTCTTTGATCAGGCGGAAAGGAGTCTTGAGCCTGGGCACTTGAGGAACCATAAGCAACAGGCTTACAACCTTCACAGTACCAGTTTCCCTCGGGCACTTGCCGCCCTAGACCGACACAGTAGGTATGAGCTGGCGAATCGCAGAGGTCACACAGCAGCATGAGAGCATCATCTCCACCTTCATGGCATTCTGTGCAAATCACACTCTCATATGGATCGATGAAGCTTCTAATTTCCTCTTCAGTTGGTTGATACACCTATATATGAAAGCAACAAACCGAAAAAATTGTAACTTGCGTTAATAAGTGGAGAACTGAAACCAACTAAACACAAGTGACGAGTATAAGGCTAAAAAGCAAATACAGCAGCAGACCTGATCACGCATGGGAACTTCTATGATCTCACTTCTCATATCAACTCCAAGCGATAATCTCCCATTCTTGGTGATTGTAGTAAACCTTTGTTTGCACAAGGGGCAACGCGATTCGACCTTCGACCACTCCATGATGCACTTGAAGCAGAAATAATGGCTGCAGCAGTCTAGGGTTCCTTTCAATCTTCTTTTATCCTCTTCTGTGAGACAGACTCCGCACACTTGCTTTGCAACCACCTCGGGTTTTTTGGATTCCTTCACCTTCTCTTTCCCCTTCTTCGCCATTAAATCTCGATTACCATCCTCCTCTTCATTTGTTTTCATAGAGGATGATGACGAACTCCTCAAGCTAGTCTTCTTCATTTCTCCTCCGAATATTTTCTGGGCTTCTCTCACCTGTTCTCTCTCCTCTTCAGAGATCGTGTACTCCGATTCAGATCCAGATGCCACAAGATCCGAATCAGAATTCACGGTGTACTTCCTTTTCCTTGAGCTTTTCTTGCTCTTTTTCTCTCTGGCAGCTGAGTTAGAGTCTGTGAAATCCACGTCGTCTTCATCATCGCACCTCATTTTCTTCCTCAATCGACGCTTCTTCTTTCTGCCATTCTTCGCAATAGACCTTTTTTGAGCGCTCGATTTCATTATTGTAGCACTTCCGCTCGTTCTAGTCCTCTTGACCATCTTGTTCACCTTACTACTCGACTTCTTCTTCTTATTCGCGGTTAGTTCTTCATCCTCATCCAAACAATCATCTTCTTCTTCTTCTTCTTCTTCTTCTTCTTCTTCTTCTTCTTCTTCTTCTTCTTCTTCTTCTTCTTCTTCTTCTTCTTCATACAATGTTAATTCTTCATCCTCACCATCATAGTCATCATCGTCGTCATCAGCATCCACATCATCATTACCATTAACATAATCTTCATCTTCGTCTTCATCTTCTTCATACGAAACCCGACTCCTCTTTCGTGCTCCGGTTTTCCCATTATTGGATTGAACAGTCCTTCTACATGCTTTCACTACTTCTTCTTCCTCATCTTCTGATGAAAACACTTCTAAAGAGCTTGCATACTCCTCAGATTCATTCCCCTCATGCTCAATCACATAATCCTCATCCGAATCATCAGAACCCTCATCTTTCCATCTACCTCTCTTCTTGAAACTCCTTTGACCAGTAATTTTCCCTCCTTTTCCCATCTACCTCTCAACCCACAATCAGCCACCAAATCCCCTAGAAACTGACTCCCTCTCTCAGCTCTAAATTATACCAAACCAGCCCACATAAAACTTTCGAGTTCACTGAACTTCCATCATCAGGGAATTCTCGAATTCAAGACATGCAAACCTATCATGGAAGCAAAATCCTGGAGATTCGCCCAAAAGGAATAGAATTAAATCCCCCTTTCAAGCTACCTTTCAAATTACTTGTTTTTTCCTTCGATTCCACTCTAATTGAGCAACCCGATCGAAACTTGAGACTAACCTACCAATTTCTAAATCCCATGGCCACCTAATCCCAATAATTCCACATAAAACCCAGATCATGAAGGAAATCGGTTATCAGCTTCCTCAGCTGGCCGCAGTTAAACTCGCTTCCTTATCTGCCGATTCCGAGCTCCAAAATACGCCAAAAGAGGGTAATAATTTCATCTTTTGCCCTTTTGGGTTTGAATCATTCAATGAGTAGTTCAAAGCTAATACACTGAAAACCCTTAAACGGGATAACAATCGAAACCAGAGAAATTGATTAAAATAAGAAAGAAAAAACTTACAGCTTTACGAGCCTATGGATACAGCTGAGCCATACAGAGAGAGAGAGAGAGAGAGAGAGAGAGAGAGACGGGGTAAGTACAGAGGAGAGAGACAGATGGAGCGAACTCTGCGATGATGGGTGGGAAAAGGGCAGACGAGAAGGGAAAATGGAGGCTGGAAACCGAATTCTGCAGAAAAAGAAGGAAAGAAATGTGCTTTATTTGTTGGGTTAGCTGAAAAAAGAATTTCCAGAGAAGAAAGGAAGAGCCGCGTTAATGTGGGTGATTCCAAATCCGCAATCCGGTTGAGATTTTCTCAATTATGTGTTTGATTCTTTGTTTGTTTAATTCTTTTATATATATATATATATATATATATATATATATATATATATATATATATATATATATTATTTTTTAGTTTTGTGTTACAATTAGCGAAATTTTTATATAGTTAGAAATTCATTCAATAAATTTGGTTAACAGATTTTGGGCAAAACACAAATTAGAACTCAATCAAAGCCCGACGCAAATGGGCCTCATAGAAAATCCTAACAACCTAATCTACCTTCCAAACACGATGAGCACTAGGGATGGCGATCAAATTCATGGTAGCGGGTACTAGACCGCCCTGATCCAGTCAACGCGGGTAATCCCCGCTTTGACCGGGTATGGGTAAAATCCGCAAAAAATTTGATGGGTATGGGGCGGGTATTGTTTTAGTTTCCCCCGTCCCATACCCATATACGCCCCACCAAGAGAATTTCTTCACATATACAAAAATATGTGGATCAAATTGTAATCTATCAATGGCGATGAGGATAACTCGATGAAATAAATAGTAGAAATGCAATTGAGTGACCACCTTAATCCAAACCTAATTCATTTCCCTCAATTCTCCTTTCACTCTTTCACTTTCCCCCTTGTCAACAAGATTATGTTGGTTAATTATTACTTAGTAGATGTATCAAAGTTAGAACATAATAATTTGAAAAATATTATACTCTATATTACGTATTAATGAATGTTTTAGGATCATATTCTTTGAACTGTATTAAGAAAATGATTGTATTTTATTGAATTCGTGATATAATAGGTACGTTTAGAGTTGTAGTTAAAACTTTTCTTGTAAATTTTAGGATAATAATGTTGGATATACCGCTACGGGTATTACCCATGGGTACCCGCAACCCACGGGTATGGGGATGATTTTGCCAAACATTACCCCGCATGGGTATGGGGCGGGTATGGGTTTGGATATTTGAAGATGGGGATGTGGATGGTTTAGACAAACCCGCCCCATTCTCATCCCTAATGAGCACCAAGACACCAACGTCTGGAAAACAAACTAACTAATCTATTGTTCCCATGCACCCTCCTCCCATTTAATGAAAACAACCGATAAAATGAAGACACATTGCACTATATAGTAAAAATTGAATTAGCTTGGCGCCAAGCAACACGACGTCGCTCTATTCTCTGCGCTTCTATTCCCACACAGGTAAGTGATGTTGTATCAATGGATCTAAGGTGGTGAGCACGGTTTGATTCTCCAATCCAGCAATCGACTATGGTTCTCTGTTACGGTCCTTCATGGAGCACTAAGTTACACTCATTTGAAAAAGGTTCGTGGAGAACTAAGTTACACTCATTTGAGAACTGTCAATGGCAAGGTTTGGGCAGATTTTGAGAAGGCCTGCCAAAAGCTAGGACTTCTACAAAATTGGGTTCTGCATCAGTTACAAAAGCTACTGAGTTCACATTCATCTTCTCTCTAAGATTTCAATCTTCCTCTTCCCACTAATTTTGTTGACGATGATGGAACAACACCAATTGGCATCCTCTCAACGAAAAGCAGCTCCATGTTTACACAACAATTATCAACTCAGTCAACAACAAAGTTGGAACCTCCTTTTTATTATATGGTCATGGTGGCATAGGAAAAACATTTGTGTATAACGCAATTACTGCAAAGCTTAGAAGTTTAGGCAAAATTGTTATTTTGGTTGCTTCGTCTGAATTGCGGCAACACTGCTGCTGAATGCAACCACAACAAATTCCAAATTCAAAATTTCCCTAATCTTGGATGCGACATCAACATGCCCAGTTAAACACGGAATAGACTTGGCTGAACTGCTGACACTTGATTCTCTTATAATATGGGATGAAGCGCCGATGACACACCATCGAGCTTTTGAGGCAGTAGATCGTACTTTGTGAGACATAATGAGTGTGCCATTAAAAGGACTACAATACAAGGCATTTGGTGAGAAAACCATTCTTTTTTGTGGAGATTTTCAACAAACTCTCCCAGTCATAACTGAAGTTGGCCGTGAGCAAACAGTCGATGTGTCATTGAAAAGATCAGTTCTATGGACTTCTTTTAGACTCATGCATCCGTTTGCAACACATGAGGATAACAGGTTCTTTGCCTAATGAAAGGTAATAGATACACGGTTACACATTTTCAGAATGGGTTCTCGCTTTGGGAAATGGGCAGCTTAGAACAGAGTCTTTCAAGGAAGATTCACTGTCTGTTTGGATTCAGATACCGCAGCTATTTCTCATAAAACATGAAGGCAATCACATTGAAGCAATTGCGAATGATATATATGAGTCATTTGACAGCAACTATGGCTGCCCAGCATACCTAAAAAACAGGGTGATCATTGCACCAAGGAATACAACCGTGTCTGAGATTAATGATTATATGTTGCAGAGGGTTTCCGGTGATTCAAATACATACTATAGTTCAGATTCATTGTTACACTCAATAGACACATAATCTACATATGATGAATGTTATCCGACTAAGTTTCTCAACACACTTACATTCAATGGGGTGCCAAACCATGAGCTTGCCTTGGAAAAAAAACTCCAGTTATGATGCTGCGGAACCTAAACCCTGCTTTTGGCCTTTGCAACGATAAACAGATTATGGTTACAATGTTGGGCGACAACTTCATAAAGGACAACATCATGGGAAGTTCATATGACACCGACGAGGTCATAATTCCCAGAATTGTTCTCAACTTCAAAACTCCAAGTGGCCGTTTATCCTCAAAAGGAGTCAATTTCCAGTTCTCACGTGTTATGCAATGACCATTGTCAGCTATATGTGGGGGTTTCAAGGGTAAGATCAGCAGCAGGTTTGGGGATGCTGATACACAATCCTCCATAAATTCCAGACAACTATCCAAAAATATAGTGTTTGCTGAGGCATTGGTGATATCCTCACTAGCTAATCGTACATAGTATGCCTCTGCACCAGCGTTACATACCATTAAGGTCATTATGCATGCTACCAAGGATTATTTTTATTGACTTATGCAACCCACTTGCATATGCAGCTAAACTTTAATGGTTGTTTTGGCAGGTCTGTATGCTACGCAGCTACAGCTTCCACAACACAACTTAGGTCCGAGTTAAGCAGTGCCTTTTTGCTCTCCATCACAAACCCAGTTCATTGCAATGTAGTAGTTGGAGTTATTGCCATTCATATCTTCTGCAATGACATGACGCTCTATGTAGCTTTTATTTTACTGTTAAATATAGTTTAACATCTACGATCCAATATCAAAACGTGTTTCATGTTTCAGATAGACAGGTTGGTCGACTTCACAATATTATGGTACCAAGGAATAGAACAAGTTCTACACAAGTAACTGAGTATTTATCTTAGTTCGCAGAAATTTATTAACAACCTATTTCAGTAGATGAGTGCTTCTTCAGTGTTTTGCTTCATGTTATAATGTTTCCCAGAAATCAAAACAAGTCTACCCAGTGATTCTACACATCATTTGCTCAATTCCATTATAGTTTTTGTGTGCCAGGCCTACTTCCATCGATCTAGATTGCTATGTTTACAAACCCAGAACCAAATTAATTGCACAGGTTGTTGGCTGGGTCTAAGAAGTCCATAGAGAAGGCACTGTTTATATAAAACAGGGCCCAATTAAATTGGCCAGGCCCAACCTCTAAGGGCACATTCGGAACGCCTTTTGTGAACCCTATACTGCCCAAACATTCTACAATCCATTTCCACATTTTCGCTCACAGGTGCACCGGAAAATCCACTTCTCTGACCATCGGCCAAACCCTAGCATCGCGGTAACTCACCATCTCCTTCCGCATCAAAATAAATTACACTGAATAAGTACCACTCTTGGTGAACTTCTTCGATTTCTCAGGGGGCGCACCCAACATTGCCATTTATAGCAAAAACCAGCAACCCATGGCAAACGATTCCATGATCCCCACCGATCGCGAAGGTAATTCCACCCTGCTTAGATCAATGGTCCTGCACCAATATCACCATTCCTCTGCGTACCACAACCATTTTTTGTATGTGTTGTAGTTCGCAATGCAGCTTCGATGACCTTTCGGGGACTACGCCTGGTTATCAACAATCGCTTTGTCATTGCACGCCTTGTCAACACATGGTTCGAATTCAGACAAGCACATTTTTGGAAAAAAAGAACAATGCACATGGTTTGGATTGACAAAAAGGTTGTTTCCACTCTACACTCATTAATTACATAACATATACTATGTCTTTACAAACTTTGAGCTGGCTGCAACAACAACTTATGCACTTTCTCTCAATTTTCATCCGTACCATACTTTTAGGACATTCAAAAGACAACATACATGTTCATCCACTACACCCATTGTTGGACATTGAGTTTGCAGGACCATCTAATTGAAGCTATGGTTGAGGAAAAAGATATCGCAACCATATCTCGCAAAATTAAAGTCGGCCAAATACATCAGCTTCAAACCATTATTGATGTTCCACCAAGGGAAATTGGACACATTGTTCCAGAGGAGTTGCGCCTGCTTATGAAATCAACCCAAACCATCACTCCATTCAAGAAGACCCTGACAATCCACAGAGTCTTGGGGTCAACAAAAATTCTCAGTCTCGAATTGATCGTGTTCTGATTTCTCCAGCTTTTGATTCTTTGTATTCGGATTGCAGTCTTGTCGGTTTGGAAAAGGTTGAGTCTGATCACTCACCTCTTGTTCTTCAGTGGGGAAACAACAGGAAGTTTAATCGCCCCTGGAGATTCGAGAACATGTGGTTGGAGGATCCTTGCTTCCACACAGGTTTAAGCTCGTGGTACTTTAATCCACTGCAGGGAAGGGGGTTGTGTTTCGTTTCTCTATGAGACTTAAGGATTTGAAATAGAACATTAAAGTGTGGAACAAGGAAGTTTTTGGTAACGTTCACATCAAGGTTGATAGACTTCTGGAGGAAATCAAAGACCTCAGCCTAATAAAAGAGAGTAGGCCTCTTACTGATAGTGAAGCAGCGAGTCTAACTGAGAAAAGGTTGGACCTGGAGAAGGCTCTCTTTTTTCAGGAAATCTGCTGGAGACAGAAGTATAGAGAGGTTTGACTTAAATACGGAGACCAGAAC